GCCTCCTCTGGCCCCGCTCGAGCAGCTCCGTGTCCTTCTGCTGTTGGGGGCCCCCGAGCTGGCCCCAGCACTGCAGGGGGGTCTCCCCAGAGTGGAGCAGAGGGGGAGAATCCCCCCCCTGGCCCTGCTGCCCCCCCTGCTCTGGCTGCAGCCCAGGGCACGGGTAGGTTCTGGGCTGCGAGCGCATGGGGCTGCCTCACGGGCAGTTTTCCCCCCACCAACCCCCCCCAGTCCCTCTCCTCGGGGCTGCTCTCCAGCCACCCCTCGCCCAGCCTGGATTTGTGCATGTGTTTTGGAGTTTATGCCTCGTTGGCTTCCTTAAAACTTGGAAAGACAGGCGGCGACCAGGAATTATTTATTTTAAAAAGTGCCTACAATTCTGTTTCACTGATTTCCAGGAAGAAGAAGAACCCTGAGCCTGTTCAAAGCTGCCCTATCTGTGTAACATGGGCAGGCTGTAACACACCGTGCCCCCACGGTCTTGTTATAACATTTATCCAAAGATGTACCCAACTGACATTTCCGTTTCAGGCCATGCTACATGCTGGGTATATCTCAGAAACTTCCAAATTAATTTATGCTCAGTGTTTACCTCATAACGAGAATGTATTTGTTTAAATAAGTGTCTAAATCTATGAAGTCACTCTGCTTTGGGTCTCTACTCTTCCCGTGCCCACCCCTTTCTGCCTTTAACCTGCTGAGTGACCCAGCTGAGGTGATTCGTATGGAGACTGAGGTTGACGGTCCTCACCCATGGACCTGGCTTCACCTCTTGGTCCATCAGAGCCTCTGGTTGGTCCTTGACTGGCCTTTGTTAATTTGTCCAGGATGGGTCTTAAGCGATGAAGTAAGGGAGGTAGTCAGGGAGAAATCTTGGAAGTCCTTTTAGAGATATTTTGAACGCTACAGTGTTTGTTGGATTCATGATTTGCTCTAAGATGAGACACACTGATACACCAAAAGGTGAAGAAGCACCATGGAACGAATTTCCACTCTCTAGCGTGGCTTCTACCTTCTTTAGCCTTTATTTTCCTTTTTTCATCTAGCTACACTTGGTCTGCCCAAATAGCCTTGTGAGACGGTTATTAGAGGTTGTTTGTTTATTATTGTTTCTACTCATTGCAGTTTCAAAACGCTTTTGTGTCTGTGGAGCAAAGTCCACAGCAATTGATTCTTTTTCTTTCTTTCTTTACTCTATTTTTAAAAAAAAAAACCATGGGGCTAGAGCTGTAGTAGGGAGGAAGGTGGCGACTGCAGCAGAACCAGGACACAGGGACCCCCCCCTTGCAAACCTCTGTGGTGGTCCAGCACCTCCCACCACACCGGCCATCCCAGTGCATCCCAGGACTTCCCTGTGGGTCCCAGCTGTGGTGGCCAGAGCCCAAACTGGGGGAAAGCGGTTGCCCCCCACCGTGTTGCCCCCAGCTCCAGCGCCCTGAACCCCGGCCGCGGCATCGCGCTGCCCGCCGGCACCGAGCCACCGCAGAGGCCACCCTGGAGCACTCGCTCCCACCACAAAACTCCACAGCACAGGGAAAAAGATCATTAAATACAACTTTATTGGGTTTCATTGTACATTTTTTTGCCACGTCTCCCTCCTTCTCTCCATCTTCCCCTGGGTGCCTCTGTCCCGTGTTTCATCATAGATACAGGGCAACTTTAAAGTTTGTTGGCTGTATCACCCAGACCAATTCCAGCCTCAGTTTCCCTTTTTTTTTTTTTTTTTTTTAGTTAGATTTTTTCTTGTTTAGCTTTTGCACAATAAGCAATCTGTGATTTTTGTCTGGTTGGAGCAGAGTAGCTTTCAGACCATTTCCTTGCCAGCTCCACTTGGTCTGTTCTGGGGCTAGTTGCTGCCTTTTGTTACAAAGTCATTTCTTAAACAGTTTAATTTATCTCAAGGTAAATGCAAAACAAGAGCCACACAACAACTGAAATTCTCTTAAAACTTTGTGGGCACAAAAAAATGTACCATTTTGTGAGCAATTAACTGCACCCTCTTTTCACTGTGCCCTTTCAGTACTAGTACAAGATCAATAAAGAGGAAACAAAACCATTACAGTACAATTGTTATTTTATTTGAATGTGTAAGAAATCAAAAAATCACAACTACATAGCCTCTTTTGCTAGCATAGTATTTCAGCTCACCAAACCACACTAGCCATGGCACTGGCTGAAATGGGGTACCAGACCAAGAGGGCTCAAATCCTCCCTCAGTTAATTTTGACCTGAGCGCTGAGAAATAATACTTGACTTTTTGTATTTAACAATGAAATTTGGCATTATATATGAGAAAAAGAGAGAGCTCGGGTTCATTTAATTTATACAACTTAAAGTTCTAGTATAGTTAATTTTATTTACAACTTTAGTATTTTGTGAAGTATCTGAGTAAAGACAATGGTCACTTTTTAAATGATACACACTAACTTTTAAAAACTTTTTATTACTCGTGGGACTTTAGGAATGTTCCTCCTTCATATGTTTGTGTAGAGATTGTTTGCATACTCTGACTCCAGACTGGGTGCTTTCTCTTCCTTTTCCTGTAAAACTTAGGGCAGTACATTGTACAATGACAAGTGACCAAAAAAAATCAATTTGTAATCTGATTTGAGGGTTTTGATTTCCTCTGATGAGTTTAAATTTCATTAAAAGCAACCTTATTCGAACATAAAAGAACTCCTTGAAGGGTAAAACAGGGAATTGTCTCAAAGAGTATAAAGAATCTAAACTCTTTTGTGCTATTTATTCACGGCATTAATTGTGAGGTCCAACAGGCGGTGTCGGTTGGCAGATGCACCGTTATCGGCCCCGCGATCTGCACGAGGAGGGGGAAAAAAAGCACAAGGGCTCACATTCAAAAATCGTTCTTTGGCGTATTGACACTTTAGTTATCAACAGCCCTTATTATCTGCTTAGCGGCGGATCGCAGCTTGCTGGTGACATAATAAGCTACAAATCACTGATGGGGCCTTTCTGCATTCTCCTAATTGTGTGTATTCTCCAGAAAAAAATTATCATTGGGCCTCTTGTCTTGATGAGAAATTGACATTTTCTGGCGGAGCCTGACGAGCACTATGGGGGGAGATAAGACTTATAGTTGTTTTAAAGGAGTGCAGCCATTCTTTCAGAGGCCTCTTTATTGCTCTAGTTGACCCACTTGATGAGTATGGATTTCATGAGGTCTTTTTCAGCATTTGAACTATAAAAGGTTCAGAATGACACCACCCCTTATAGACAAAAGATAACCTTGCCCTTTGAATATATTGATTCTTTATTAACTAGGCTGTTTAATGCAATGAAATGAGGCATTAGATTGAAGCCTATTTCAAGTGCTTTGAATAATCTTTAAAAGCTTGAAAGACTTTAAAAAGCTGCTCTGCAATAATTGGCATATACTTTTAGAGACTCTGTTCCTTCATTTTGATTAAGGAATTTTTATCATCTTCTTATGTCTAAACTCACTATAGGCTGACACAACGTATTTTCTCACCAGGACTATTACCAAGTTACAGATATGGATGTGTCGTAGGTTGTGGATTGCTCTAGAACTTGTCCTTCTTAGCACAAAATACATGGGTTTTCTCCTTTCGTATTTTATTTGCATTGAACGATTGACGAACCATTTACATGCTCATTATTCAAACCTTTGAAATAAACCTAAAAGGAAAAGTGCCAGTAGGCATCATGCAGACTTTCATCCCTATAAACCACCTTATTTTTTAGTGGGATGCATCTGCTTATGCCACCGATTAAACAGGATACACAGATACATACTCAAAGCGGAACAATTGTTAATGCATAATGAAATTAATAATAATCCAAAGCGCTCTATGTTTTTAACATCTGTTTTCATCAAACACAAAAACTATGGAAATATTGGAGAAGAAAGGAAACGTAGCTAAATATCCCGGTTTTCCTTCATTGTAAATTGTGACTACAGTAAGCTGAACATGCTCCTCACCCTCCATCACTTAACTGCTGGAACGCGGGGCAGCGAAGGAGCGACTCCGGCACACGGCGTGTCGTTCGGCAGTATACACACACACACAAGTACATACATTTACTTTGGAGCTTGGGGTTTCTCAGTGCCCTCTTGAAGTTGTCAGCAGCCCTGTGATTAATGACAGGATAAAACTCACATAACGAACTCCCCTGCTTTACCGGGACAGGCACTCGCGTCGTTCTGCCTGCCCGGGGCGCAGCCAGACCCAAATTCCTGTACAAATGCCCTTTTTTTTCTGGTGGCTGCGGTCACACGCAGCGTTGCAGGCTCGCACTTGGCACCGGGGGTAGGGAGCACAGACCTGTAGTTCAGGCTTTGCACTGCAACTGTCTCCCACAAAACCACCGCCCGACTAGGAGGCTGAGTCATGCCCACCTCGGTATATTTATATTTCAAGTTCTTTATATGTACATTGCAGGTACAGAGGATGAAATATTTCTGTTCAGTATTATAATTAGCAAAAGCATTTTACTTCCTTATCAACATGAAAAAGATGAGTACGTCGACCTTCGGCGTCAAACCACTGCATGGAAAATTTGGGTTGTGCTGTGTTTAAAATAACTTTTCCTGTTTACAGATTTTTACAATGCCATATGAAAATAGAAAGAAAAAAAAAAAAAAAAAAAACTAACTAAGAAATTACTCTATTGTTACCTTCACTTTACAAAAAGGGTGTCTGAAGCACAGTTTTGGTTAAATACTTCACCGAGGCTGAGCACCAAGTCATTGCCGGGCTGCGGAGCAGAGGTCTCCTTCCTCATCATCCTGGGGGGCTGCCTGGGCTGGCTATCCGGGGGCACCGAACAGCCCACGTCAAGGATTGTGCTTTTTCTTAACCAAGACATAATTTCGAGTTCTGATATTGAGAAATGAAACCCCCAGTGTCGCATTTCTTTTTGTTTCGTGTTTAGTCACTTTTTTTAATAATCAAACCAGATAAACTTACTAAAAATGAAATTCACAGACAAGAAATACTTTAATTAAATATTGTGTAAAATGA